TTCAAAACTGCGGTCTGGACCCGGAGCGGTCACGTGTGCTGAAAGAGGTTGTACGCTCACCAAGCTGTGCCTGCCAGCTTCCCGAATCCAGCGGATGTTGTCATGGTACTGCTGCTTCACAGATGCGCTCACTCGCAAGAGAAAACAAGAAAGAAAAGAGGTTTTCAAAAATAAATGCAATATGCTCTAAATAAAATTAAATTCATCTGACAGCACTAGGGAGTCAAATTCTGCTCTCAGATATAAGCACACATATAGGAAGTGCTATCCAGAATCATTTGCAGCCTATGCAGTGACTGGCACCATATACTGAGAGGAAGGTATGAGAAGTCACCCAGCAGGCAGCTGGGAATGATGTCTCCCATTCAAATCTTTAGGAAACTAAATTAAATCTTGATCAGATCACATGTCCTGTGCATGCTTCGTCACCTGGCTTTCTGCCTACTAAATGCCCGATCCTTCTCCGAGCCTGTGCTAAATAAATAGCTTTAGCAAGCTCCGTGATATTGAGTTCTACGGCCCAGTCCCATATCAGGTAAGAAATAATTCATTTGAGCAACTGTCAGAAAATCCCAGAAGGAGCTGGTAATATGTACGTGAGGATAAGTTACACTAATAAAACATTGCAAGGATAAGATGGGGTATAGATTTACAGCACAGTAGTTTCTCTGTACTACTTGCCCACGTGAATGTTTTTATCCCAAGAGAAAACTAAGGTCACTCATACCACAGTGAAACTGGGGTATATTGCCTCACGTTACTATGGAGCACAAGACTGCACAGAAGGATTTATCCTGGAGCAAGCTACTCCATGTGTAAATTCACCCTGCACCTTGTTTATAGATATACAGCTATACAGACATGTTACGTGAGAAGAGAATTATATATAATGTTTTAACCATTCTCTAGCTTTCGCTCTCATTTATACCCGTGCCATTCCATTTCATCAATCACCCAAAATGAAGAGCAGTAAAAATAAAGATGCTCGAAGTGAAAGACAGTGAAATGTGACGCACATCACTTAAGGCACATGGCAACCCCAGTACAATCAGCTGCCTCCAAAGGCCTGGAACCAGCTGTAGCAAGTGAGTAACAAAAAGGAGAGCGAGTATAGGATGGGGCAGAAGCATTTTCTTACCAGCCTCCTTTTTGGGGGCTTTCACAGTTATGCCTTTCCAGACAGAGTGAATGTGAGCTCAGATGATGAGATTAGAGTAGCAGTTACTCCCTGTAGGCTCTTTCTCTATGGGCTAAGCTATGTTGTATTACCTTGTCCTAAGCGACTTGGGCAGCTACCAGAGCTCAGCTGACACATGGTAACACACTAAGCCAGTGATTTGCTCACGCATTGGAGTTTTAAGTTATAATCATTTCAGCACCCGCTAGATGGCAAGATCCCATATTCCACACCACTTTCCAACTCTCATCCATTTTCAAATCAAAATCTAATGTACACGTGACCTATGTCTGGAAGTCAGTCACCTTGCATACTCCTAACTTCAAATTGTTCCCAGGTAACTGAGAAGAGTGTTTAGACTTCTGTCTTTCCTCTAAGCAATTTGTCGGCAAATATTCATAGTACAACTAGAAATGAGGAAAAGACATGATACTCATATTTAATTTGGGTTAAACACATTGTTAAAGGGAAATGTAAAACACATTCACTCCTGCAGAAGCAGGCCTCCTGCACAGAGAGTTTTAATGATGCCGAAAGGACCTGTGAGTGCTTTATGGGTTGGTTCCAAGTGAGAGCCTCTAAACTCTGCAAGGAGGATTAACATGCCAGCTCTTAGATTTGCAAGGAGTGAATGATGAAACATCTGCTTGCACTGTCCTAGTAGGATTGTACTGCCATTCATAAGCTTCAAGGAAATATCTTCTAGAAGGTAACAGTTAGTATTCACTTAGGTTATTATAGATATTTAATGACAGTTTACAGGAGTGGATCTAGAAAACTGAATAGAAAATTAATTCCCTTCTATACCTCTTATAAGCAACCTTAGAGAGTACTTATCACATTTTACACTTTAAAGTGCTTAGACTCACAGAAAGGATCTTAACTGTCTGTTGAATTATATAGGACTTTTCCAGAGGAGAAGCCAGATGAGAAAACTGGCTACAAAGACATATCTCAACATAGTACATCCATCCCTCCCACCTAGCTCCAGTAAATTGTCATATTCTGTTCAAAACTGTGGTGTGCCCAAAGTTGAATTTCATTTGTTAGCCCTGGGGAGGTGAAGAACCCTCACTTTTATTTATTACGGCTTCTTGCAATTGAAAATTTCACAGTACTTTTTCCAAAAAGAGCTAGACTTTGGATTGGTTCCATGTGTCTCTCATTTGCTAAACTGCTGCTGACCAAGAGGAATCTGCTCCTAAATCAAGCAGGCTACTGTGTTGCTTCTGGTATTTCACAGGCCCTTGTACTTATTTAGGCTTGTGAAGATTAACTAGAGAACGTTGCACACAGAGAAATAGTCCTCATGAACAGAGAGATTGCCTCCCTTTGCTCTTGGGAGATCTGTATTGACATTAGGTGTTAATTCAGCCTTCATCAAACTACCACAAGGATAGTAAACACAAGTTTCAATCCAACCATGAGTGCTGCATCTCTCACACTAGGGCTAACTTAAAATCCTGGGTACATTGGAAGTCAATGCAAACAATAGTACTGCACAGGACTTCCTCACAGTTTATGGGATTTAAGCATCAAAATTCATCTTCCCAAAAGGAAAAGAATAGTTAAAATTGGACTCAAGGCCAGATTAAAAGCTCAGACTTGGAACGTGACAGAATTCAGGTCTGTGGAGTTTTCAGTCAGCCGTTATAATGACAGTTTCCTTTATATAATTCAAAGGTATATTCAGGTTTTGGATACATATATATGTGAGGATATCCAGACCCTGTAATTTGCTCCAAGCCCAGGTCCCATAGGGAGTGTACAGCAAGTGGAACAGTCAAGAACACAAAACCATGAATGGCTGTGTTTATTTTCTGGCCAAATTCTGTTTTCACTTATTTGGATTCCTGTTCCCCTTGTCCTGCCAAATACAACAAATCCAATAATAGCATTACCCTTAAGCTTGTTTTCACCTGTTGGGATTTTAAAATGCCATTTTTTATTTCAATTAAGAATATACATGTAAGACTCCAATGCTTTTTGTCTGTGGAAGAGGCTTCTATCCCCAGTCTTACATTAACACCTATATAGACACCCATGTGCATATGCGTGCACAGAAACTGATTTGGCTTCTATCCCCAGTCTTACATTAACATCTATATAGACACCCATGTGCACAGAAACTGATTCATTTCCTACTCTTGCAATCCAAACCATCCAAAGGTCATGCATAAGATCATGCTTGAAAGAAGAAAACAACTGTTTTTTGCAGCACATTGCAGAAAATCTGCTGCAGATCCAACACTATAGCACTGGATTTTACCCTCCCTTCAACTATGCCAAGGGGCCAAGTTTAAAAACACAAAAAGCTCTGTGTCCATAAAACGGGAGGAATTTCTGGGTCACAACAACCCGTTCTTCAGTGCTATTTCTTCAGGATGACACCTAAGGGAAGTTTTTGAGAATTGACAGCACTGAGGATCTCAGCAAGATTGGACCCTCCCCATCAGTAATTCAACTCTTTGAAGGATGAGAAGGCTGGACACCAGCCTTGCACGACAAGAAGATAACAGTAGTTTTGTTTCAAAAAAGAAACATATCTGAGCAAGGTAGATTCCTTCCAGGAATACTACTTTAGAACCTCGCAGGACTAACTGTTCCATGACAAATAGGAGAGCATTCCAAATCTTCACACTTCCAGTTACATTTGGGTAATGTCTTTCACAAAATATGAACCTTTCCCTTAATATCAGTAATGGTGGTCTTGACAAGGTTTGATGAAAGCAGCTTGCATGATAGAAAAGCAAATCAGAAGGTAGACTAATCTAGCCTGGGATAGTGGGAAGGGTGCTTGCAGCATTTAGGTGAAGTGGTTATTCATATTTTTAATGATCAAAATAGATATGTTTGATTCCAAGAAGCATAAAGGTCCACTGCATGGAAACAGAGGAACAGAGGACTTCAGTGCTAAGGGACAATGACACTTGAGTCTCTGATTCTGCTGTACAGCTACTGTAAAAGTAGACAAAGAAAAGAGAAGGATTAGAGCCCTTCACTGGAATCTAGAAGATCAGGATTTATGTTTCCCAACCCAGGATTAGCTTATTTGCCTCAGTTTCCATTCCTATATTGGGGATAACAGTGGTTCACTTTAAGGGACACAGAAGAGTGAAAGTTGGTGTAATTCGCAGAGTAAAATGTAGATCCATGTAGATATTCCAGACTGGTTCCACCAGCAAGTAGGATAAGGTGTCGCTTGGTGACCAAATGTCATAGAAAAGAAACATCAAAATTGTAATCGCAAATGAATGACACTGGATGGAGCACCACACCCAGAAAACCTGGGCTCCCTGCCACTCATCTGCTTGCTAACCTCTTACAAACCTCTCTAGATTCCCCTGCCTCTTTCCTCTGTCTGTGAGATAGGGGCAAAGCAATTTGACTCCTTTAAAAAAACTCCTTGAAATCTGTTGATGAGAGACACTCCTTGCCTTACAGTTTCAAGGTGACAAAGTGCAGGAAAATCTATAACAAATGGAAACACTCTTAATCAAAATTGCAATAGCTTCAGGATCAGTAATCCCTATATAGGGTGTTTTTACATCTTATCTACTGGTTACGCTCCTTGTAGGAATTTGGGGACCAGTGAGATTTCCTGCCCACGTGGAACAGGCAAGAGATTGCTTTCTAAGGTTTCAGCCAAAAGCCATCATAAGTCACACAGCTCTCGCTTTACTTTTCTCCCCAAAAGCATCCCCCAGTGATGGGCACATGGGATGATGTCCTACCTCCCCTACGTATGGAGTCCTCCAGCACAGACATGGCGATTGAGTCAGTGGTAGAAAGATCTTGTGGGTCACCTGAGGTGCAAACCCAGCGAAATGGCCCAAATCCCAGAGAAAAAATGTCCCTGGGAAGAGAATATGTTTCATTAGAAGATAGTTGAAATTCTTTCCTTATTTATCCTGGCTGCTATCAGTGCTTTTCTTTCATTAGCTGGAGATGGAAGAATTTGAAACATTTTGAATGAACTAATCTAAACAGAAGTATTAGAGACCATTAATTCAGAAACTAAACAGTGCTGTTTCACGCAGCCATCAAATGGTGTATACAAACGCACAGACAGACCAGCATTTTCATAGGAATGTTGGGCACTGCAACCAAACAAGTGCATCAGATGAACTATTATTTTCTTTGGTTTTACAACACCTACTCTTCTTGGTGTCCAGTCTCTTCCTCCTTAAACCAGGCTAACTCTGAGGGCATCTACACTATCAGACAAGTTTAGGTCTGAACAAATGCCCAAATCCAGACTCATTTGCTGTCCACATTGTTAACACGCAATAATGTGTGTAATTACACACTTTCACTTGAGCTCCAGAGGAAGAGATCTAATCTGGGTGGTGCTTCACTCCATGTTTATGCCTTTATTCACATGGTTTAGACAAGCTAAGCATGAGTCGGGGAAAAAGTTGTCACAACCCAGTCGCCCAACAGATCTCCTGAGCTCAGCTTTTCCTACAGGCAGTATGGAGAGCTTGGGTGGAGGGTACAGTCAGCAGTGTGGATGGGGAAGAATGCTATTTCAGGCCTGCTTTAAACTTCAGCGTTAGCATAGGCCTATGACTTGGATTTCAGCTATACTGCTCTGAAGAGACAGTAAACTCTTCATTTTACACACCTAGAGGTGAAGTTGCATATAATTTGAGGTTGTGACTTGTCCATTCTCCTAAGCCACACACAGGCATTAATCCAGAGCAGAGAAAAAGGCAACCCACCCAGGCACAACATCTGTGAGACGAAATTGCCTACTGCTACAGTTCACTCCTTTTCAACATCATTGATATCTCATGGCAAGATGTGCACTAAGTGGAGTCTTTGTAGTAATTTCTCTTCCCCTACGGAAGTGGTTTATGACTCTCATTCCGGTGTGTTTCGTTCCATGCTCTCCCCAACGTACCCCATGATGTGCTGAACGTAGGAAGGATATCGGAATTCTGTTTTATTGGCTCCTCTTTTCTCAACATCAGCACCTATAAAAGGATTTTAAAGGTCCATGATTAGATGAAGAAAACCTGTAAAACGTAAAACCAAACTGCACTTGGGTTCCTATGAAGGCTTTACGGTAGTCAGGGAAAAGGGTTGGGGGGGTCCCAAAATTCAGCATGAGAAGAAGAGGGACTAAACAATTAGTATAACAGTAGCCAGCCCTGTCCTAGGGCTGGGAAGATGTACTCTGAATCATCTTTATTTTTGTCTAAGAACTCCAGCATCTACTCACCAGCCCTTTGAGCTTCCAAGAGAAAAGCATTGCCATAATCCCAGAAAAACATGCCCTTATCAGCTAGTCTGTTAATAGCAGCCACTTGTCTCCTCAAACTGAAATAAAGAAGAAAAATAGTTGTCCTTGAGATTAATAAAATTTCAAAAAGAATAATATCATGAAATCACTAAAGGCAATGCAGAGGGAAGGGGTGGAAAACAATTGTATTTGAAAAATCCCAGAGAAATCCAGATATAAATCCAGAAGATATCAATAAAGATACTTTCAATCTCCATAGCACCTGTTATCCCAAAATCCTTAACTGATTTATAAACATTAAGAGCACTTCATTGTGAAGAGTTCTTTGTTGGGATATGGGGCAATTAATAGAGAGGGGTCACATCTTCTAGCAGCCACAAGTAAATGTAGCCAGCTCTGGGGATGAAAGTTAGTAATGATTAACAGCCTATAGAAAACTGCAACAACCGTTTAAAGAGTGAAGAGAGAAAGCGAGCACAGAAAGACAGAAAACAAATTGAAAATGGCTAAACATCACTGCTTTGGCCTCTCCCTTGGCCAAAACAGACTGATTTTCCCTTTGCTTCCAATCGTGCAAAGAGAACCGTAACTCAGGATTGCTCTCTGTGATACTATTTTTGTTTAATATCATCCAGTTCTACCCTCAATGCATAGTTGTATATGCAGTTGTAGATGTGTAGGTGGAGCCTCTTGGAACTCTAGAGAGGTAAACCAACGTCTAACAAACAAAGCTGGATTTTTTTAGGTCACACCAGCTCCTTACAAATAAGTGCCTACCAGAAATTTACCTCTCTGTTACCTCAGCCTTAGAGTACAGAAGTGAGAAACAGTAACGGTGCTTATGGGTCTCTAATCCAAAGTCAAATAGATAATGTTCCTGAGACGAATGCAAAAGAGAGTAGGAGCCATGAAGTCTTAAAAGTATCAGTTGAGAACAACAGCAGAGTTCCCTGCCTCTGTCCTCAAGTTCTCTATACCTAAATTATACCTAATTTTTCACTTTAGAATGTCCAATTCCCATTTCACTTGCAAACTTGTAAATCAGAAGTAGTCCCCTAAAATGAAGATGGTAAACTAAAGTTACATTTACAGTTGCAAAAAGTGGGGGTCCCCTCCTTATACCCTTACCTAAAAAGTTACTACTGGCTACACTGGAAACAGGCTAGATGGACTTTCTGACTTACCATTATGGTTTTATGACCTAATCAGTGAACCTAAACCACCAGCTACAATTCCATCTAAATGGAATTGTATTTATTGTCCTGGATTTTAAAAACCTAATGCAATTTAGTAATTTGTAGAAGTGAAACAAATTTTAAGTTTTCAGACCTTAGATCACGTGCACTAGAGACTACTCCGGAAATGGAGGGTAGGTGATGTCTGCCAGATTCTGAGTAATAGCTATGAAAGTGCAAAATCAGGGGTTATTAGAGAAAATACAGTAGCTTTACCCCAGACTTCTACTGAAATACCAAAGAGTAGAGTCCGATCCAACAATTCAGTGAAACTTCTTGTGGGAAAGAAAAATCTGATCACTTGCGGAGCAACTAAATATAAAGGTTAAAAAACATTTATCACTAAAACATTTACCTTTCTTGCACCAAGGTCCGGAACTTCCCCGGATTGGCAGACAGGAGCTGCTTTGCTTCCTCAAAGCTGAGCTGAACTGGATAGTATCCCCCACTGAATGGGTTATGACATGAAGTTTGGTCAGATCCTAGATCAACTAGCAGCTCTCCGGTTGTGTCCAGCTCATACACGAGCCTCTCCCTGGAGGAAGGCAAGATAATAGAGTGTTTGAACAGAAGTTATCATTCCACGTTCCTGTTCCTCTTCCAGGTGAGCATCAATTGCTTCAATGAGGAGCTTTTGCATGCCAAGACATTGTTTATAAAGGCATGCTCTTGGCAGGCTACGTCTGCTTTAGGGGTCAGGAGGTGGAAAATGATGGCGATAAAGATTTAGAAAGACATGTAAATTTTATACTCAACATTTCCTTGTACAGGAATGCTGTAGATAAGTCTGAAATACCAGCATGACATACCAGCAGATATATTGGTCAGTCTCAACCTTTGGCATATTGTGTTACAGCAAGGTTAACTATTGGACAAACTCTCAAGAGCGCCAGAATTTCTATCCATCATCTAAGAATTATTATTCAACTGCTATCTCAATACTTCTATTCTTAATTGAAGCCAAAGACATTTTCTTGCTATACAATCAGCCAAAGGGGGATGAGGGGAATATGTTTTCCCCATCTGAGAAGGAATCTTAGGGGTTTCCGTCCCTAAAATATTCATTGCTCCACGAGGAAAGGAGTAGATGCATGGGAAGCAACTTAGCGCTAGGTTAATGCTCCTTCTATTCCAAGTCTGGGAACTAATTCCAAGCTAACTAACAAGCCAGAGCACTTATATGTTGACTATCTACAACTTACCACAAATCTACCACATTTCCATGGTAACCCAAACTAAGGGCAATTTTATTCTTTCTTGCATCTCTAAAATAGAGTAAAAAAAGAGTGATTGAAGAACACACATCACATGGATAATTGCAATGTACAAATCACAGATACAACAAAAAACAGCAAACAAAATCTACATGTAGTTCCAAACACTCAACTAGGTAACAGATTTTATTAGAAAGGAAGATACCCCTTCATTCGAATATCTCTGGGACTCTGAACAGAGCAGAAGTTTAGGTACACAAACAATGCAGAATCAGGAACAGTAATAAGAACTGGGGGCACTGTGATTATTTAGGTTTTCAGAGAAAACAAAGAAGTTTCCATAAGGTTTCATAGCAATCAGTTTCTTTCCTCCACTTGGTTTTCTTAGGCATCACCATTAACTTGGGCAGGATCATATAGCTCTGGGGCGTGGGCGGTAGCAGCTGCTGGCTCTGTGCAGACAGATACATACACCACCAGCTTCCCCTTGGAAGTTCTACCTGCTGACAAAAACAGCTCCAGCTGCCAATGACACAATCTAATCTTCACTGAATTTAGGCGGAATCTGTAACAGACTCCAACCTGAAGGTACCCTTGCCCCTCCACATTTTGCTACCCTCTTCTCCCACTTGCTCAAGACAGGAGCTCAACAGCCTGCTCCTTACTTCCCCTCCACCTTCACAACACACCTCTTTCCTCCTCCTCCACACAGAAAGTGAAGAGGAGCTATAGCCTACCCCATTCATCTAAGGAAAGTCAACAATGCTTTTAATCCACAGGCTCAAAATGTGGCCTGGAGGTTCCCATAAGCAACACTTGGTGTCATGTGCACATCCTGATGGAGTGGCTGTGCTGCTGTGCAGCATTGCTTTTATGGCTTCATGGCTTCATCTGGCCCTGCTCTACTTGTAAAAAGGAGAAAGATTTTAAAACAGACAATGAGTAAAAACAATAGAGGGAATTAATGTGCTGAATTTGTGAAACATGGGCCTGATCCTCTCCTCATTCTCCAGGTATAAATCAGAACTGTTTTATGTTCTCAAAGGGTAGCACCAGGCTAAAGAAATAAACACTCAAAGACACTGGATCCACATTCAAATAACATCAAGATCTTTTGACCTGTACGCAATTGTTGATCAGTGATTCCAGAATGCTTGAGAGATGCTTCAAGTGTAACATTGTTTGTAATTGCTGCATGCATATTCATGAAACTGAAGGTGCATTTAACGTTTCATAGTACAAATGACAAGCACTGGTAGTGGTGTTGGCTACTAATGACAGCTGCTGCTCAGAATGATGGATTCACACTGAACAACAGAACTGGGATAAGAAGAGGTGTCCCTCGGTCCCTCCTCCATGCGCACTAAAATTGTGCAGTGCACAAAGATGTAAAGTGAGAATTAAAGAGTAGAGAAACTCACTAAACTATGTTATACGTCATACCTGAGGCGAGCAATGCAGTGGTCCAGGTTATTAGAAATTTCCATCAGCCATCCTTGCTTGTAGCGTTTCAAAAGTGCTGCTTCATCAACCTAAGACAAATTTCAGAGATCTTAAACCTCCTGTCTCCCCCATGCAGTGACTTTTTTTTTTTTTTTTAACTTTTTCAATTAGCCTGGAAGAAAGACTATCAAATGGGTGATGGGAATAGCCCCGTATTGGCCTTAAAAAGATGGAGTGGATGTTATTTTCCATCTCTGTTTTTTATCAGTTCCATTCTCTATTATTTCGGGCTAGAAGTGAGACAAGAGAAGAAGTTTTCGATCTATCACTTCCCAAACACATTTTGCAAAACAAGACTCCTCATTAAAATTGTACGGGATATTTCTGCACCAATTTTTCATGATTTTTGTTGCTTTTTTTTCACGATTCTGTTGAAAAAATAGAAATCCAAAATGTTTCTGATTTATCTTTTTCAAATAAACCCTGATATTTTCTGTGAAAATAAAGTTTACAATTAGTTAAGGAAATACTTTCTCTGATCAACTCAGAGACAGAAATTTCTGCCAGACTGCCTGTGACTAAGCAGTGGTTTGCTGACTAAAATTGACCCTCACTTTTATTCTTTGACTGCTCATTGAAAATTTCAACAAAACATGGAAAAGAAAAGAGGAAAGATAATTTTCTCATCCCAACCAGCTGGTGCCTGTGTGAAAAATGGAATGGATCAAAAAAACCATTTCTCTGATGCCCTCTTGCTTGGAACTTTGAAGCTCCAAACAAGCCAAATCCAAAATCTCTACTCTCTTCTGCCCTCCGTTCCTGTGTGTGTCAGAGTTTGTACACACAGGAGATAGTTGGGTAAAAATATAAATGCACAGACAAACTGTGGAGCCTTTGGCACAGCTTCCACGTTAATGATTCAGTGTACAAACTTGTACATCATTGAGACTTTTATAATGAGTTACCAGTGGCATAAAGCAAGCAGCAAAATTAATTCAAGCCAATTTCTGGGGGAGTAACTGATTTAAATACCCGAAGTGGTGGCAGCACAAGCATGCATGTGCCCCAACTATTTTATAGTACTTCATTAAAGCATTTTTACTTCCCTATAACCACCCCTACGGTTTTCAGTCCGTTATTTCTTGTTACCAACATATTTATATGTAAATTAAATATGTTCTGTATTCAGGAGTTGCTTGAACTCCAAGAAACCTCCTCTTTCCCAATCATTCTTAGCATGAGAAACCTTCCATCAGTTGGTGCATCGCTTCCTGCATCGCTAATAAAGGCTATCCGTCCAAAACCCCAGGTTATGATAATACGAATGTCATTGCCAATGGAATTATTCAATGAGAAGTCAGGCACAGAGGGAGAGTGCTTCTCTGGAAGTTATTTAAATCAACATAGGGAGAAAAGTTATTATTAAATGGTCCATATGAATTACAGGGATTGGGTTTATTTAAAACTAGGTATAGTGCAGATCAGATCTGTTTAAATCTGTTGCCATATCCCAAATATTTTACTTCAGTCCATTGTGACAGTCTTAGGCCTGCTTTCACAGCCGTGCTAGCGCACTCAGGAAAACTAGCTTCCATTGCATCAAGTTTTCAGAAAAATGCTCTTTTTTTTAAAATCAATATCTCAGTAGTTTAAAAAATTTGCACAAACATGGTGAGCTAATGTCACCTCTGGTGCAACCCTAGAGAGCTTAGCGTTGCTCAGGGGAGATTGCTTCGCCCTGCACACAGTTATTTCATAAAATTACAATCTGCTTCATGTCAAATAGAAGAGGGAAAAGACTCACACCATTAATCCCTTCTGTCTGAGCTTCGGAAGCCCCGGCTGACAAAATGACATCTCTTGCACAATTCATCAATGTCATTTGCATAAATAGTTCCTTAAATAAATAATATGTGCATATATATAGCTATCCACATGTGTTCCTGAGACTCATTTCCGACAAGGATCATCTCATAGGAGATAAAAACCAGGCGATATTCAGTCTCCTGAACAAAATCATCTGCAGCCGTAGAGATGAAAAGGACAAAGGACTGCTGCGAATACCATTCACCGGAATCCCTCCTTTGTATTCTAGCATTTGAAAGATCATGATGATAGAGTAGAAGTCTGGAGAAGATAATTTATTCAATAATAATTTATTCAATAATAAATTGAGTAGATTTATTTCACCTGCAGGGAGTACCGGATGAGATGTCGAATGCATGCAAAGCTAGTGCTGTGCTAACAAAAAAGCTTTTGCACCATCGTTGCAAGCTAGATGAAATTCTAGCCTTCCATGAATAAGACCTCAGCTAGCCACAGCAGGTCAGATTTACTGCATGCCACGTGGCTGTCTGACCCATAATGTTTTGAAGTTTAATTATAATTACCACGGGTCAGGTTGCAATATTCTTACTCTTTTCATTGCAGCAAATGACATGCCTACAGCAGAGGTCTGCCAGCTAACTCTCTCTATAAACTACTTCAGCCGAGAAAGCTGAACTCCCACTCCAGTCAGCTCTGACTGGAATTTGGTTCTCAAAATCTCTTGTTCTCTGGACCAGTAGCAACAGCTCACCAACTACAGATACTCCGAAGAGCACACCACATTTTGGTCAGTCCTATATCTGCTCTACCGCAAATGCTTCTCCAGTGCATTGAATTAAAAGGTTGCCATGAAGAAAAAAGAAGGGCATGGGAGTCTTATTTCGCAATAGCCAGAGATCCAGTTCATTTACGGCCATTATCACATAATTGCAGAACAACATTTAGTTTAAAAAGACATTAAAGATTAATTGTAATAACTACCACCTTTTAAGCCTTTTAAACATAAGTCTATGCCAAATAGACTTATTTGGCGTAAAAAGGCACAGTTCCCATGGGAATTGTCCATGGAAGTTATACTCATTCACAGCAGAAATGAGAGTAGCTCAAGCACTGAGAATGGCTCATCTAACAGCACCATTCTCTGTTATGTGTGAAGCAAACAGAAGAAGTCACAGCTCATACCCTTACAGTCTAATCTAGAGAGATAGATATTCCACAAATAGAAGGTGGAATAGCAGTGAAGAGATTATGCTCAGCAATGAAAAGGGCATACAGGGAAGACTATTTTTTTTTTTTTTGAGTTTGGCCTGTCAGGGTTAATTGAGGAGCATGTCAGTAGAGTTCTGATTAAGCATAGAAAGAAGGGAAGATAGAATGAAAAGAACATTGCTCTCACCTCTGCGATGATCCCGACACACCCAGCAATGACTGCAGCCTTCGCTTGAGCCCCACTCATTCCCCCAAGACCAGAGGTAACGAACACCTTTCCAGACAGGTCTTCCACTTTCAAGTAGCGACGGCCTGCGTTCAGCACTGTGAGCTACACACAACACACAATACAGCAATTATTCTGAGCCATTCCTAGAATTCCTGAAATTTAAGGACAAAAATTTAACATTGTGCATTCCCAATGAATTTCCATATTGACCAGATACTTTTAACACATGCCTGTTTGCAAGCAGGATCAGTTAAGGTACTCAAAGGCATTGGGATTTTTATATTTGAATAATCTTTCATCCCTAGTGCAAATACAGAGTTTGAAACAGCAGAATTGGCCTCAGGCGTCATTAGGACCAGGAATCTGTTTTACTCCTTTAAAAAGAAAAATTATTACTAAGTGATGCTATGAAACCATCTGTCCTGATAATACATGATTCAGCCAATGTTAAATAGAATGGAACAATCAGTGGTTCCCAAAATGCTGGTCTTGGGGTATACAGACCTCTTCAAGATTTCAGCAAAAGACAGACAAGGAAAACAAGCCTATTGTTACGATATCTGTGCATTCCCTTTTAAGTCTGTTCTGACAGAGAAAACATGCAAAGGGCCCTCATACAAAAAAAGTTCAATTGCACTAGGTTAAATGACTTCTGCAGATCTTCTTGGACTAAGGACATAAATACTCTTGTGAAAAGCTTAGGCCTGCCATGATGCCAATAAAGAGAACACAGATTACCTGAAAGGATCATTTCTATAGCAAAGACTCTGTGGACGTACTCTTTGATTAGACAATCCACATGCAGTTCCTTAGACAGGACTTTAGATGCTATGCAGCGTCTCATAGATCCAAGATGCTTTACTTTAAAATGAGGCCCAAGAATATGTCATTATCAATCTACCATGTAGTGAACATTTGGTCAATTCATTCTTCACTTGCTGTAGCTAGATATGAGCTCAGATTGAAACCTCGATTGCCGATCTTTTGAGGTTTTGATTCTGGATAAGATGCCAGGCACTGAGTGGAAGAACTTTTTTTTTTTTTTTTTTTTAAAGGCAGAAGCAGTGAGAATTTCTTTGCTAGTCAGGAGCGTCCTGCTCACACCAATCCATTCCACTCAAGCCACTGCAGGAGATACCCTCCTCCATTGGGGAAAGGTCTATTTGTGGATAGCCAATTTCTTACCACAGTTCCATGCACTATCCCCTGGGGTCCAATGTAGCAGTAGCTCCCTGCAGTCATCTGACCATACCTAGCAATAGGAAGAAACGCAATGGTAACACATGTTCCTCAGGCTGGAATGAAATCTGTATATATTTATATGTTTTCAGCATAACAAAAGTAATTATCTCCTGTGCCTCTATTTGTTGTTAAAGGTCTGGTATTATCAAATTCCCAACTTAACTGTGTTCCTTCTTTATTAGCACTGTACCAATACATTCTCAGGAACATTCAGCTTTTTAAATGTTTGAGCTCATCTGTCAAAACTGCATGGATGAAAAAATTAAACGGAAATTTAGTACTGGCATTTAGCATAGTGACTAGGACAAAAGGAAACATCTTTTCACATTGTTGGCATCTTTATGCCATTGCTTTTCAATGGAAGACCTGCTAAGTCAAATAGTTGCTTTTGAAGATGTTACCCCAAAACAGTTCTCTACACTTCTATTAAATACAGAGAATGACGACTGCCCCTGTCCTGGGGATTTATGTCCTATAATTTCTTCTGGCTTCCTTATTTGTAAACACCCAGATCTCCAGCAGTTTTTATTGAATCTCTCCATGGTACCTAACAGAATAACAACCCTCTGCAAGCTCATCCAAAGAGCTGGCAATTAATTATTCGAACAAATATTTAAAATTATAACTTTCTACTTCAAAGCCTTAGTATCATAGAAGAGAACCTTTTCATAACTTACATTCTCTGTATTGATTACAACAAAGCCACTACAAAGCAGAACTAGCCAGTCTTGTAAGTAGGTTATGATTAAGGCTTTAGGCTGTAATTCAGCCAAAACCTACACACAAACCTAACTAAGTCCAGCAGGCCATAATTACATCCTTATATATATGGCTGAACATAGCTTAAACTCCTGAGTAATTTCACTTAAGTGCTCATTAATGCGTTCCAGCATCAGAAGCCCAGTCGAAACCCATTTGCACTAGAAATTTTAATCAAGCAGCGGCTGATGTCTCAATTACATTTTAGTTAAATCTTTGATACAGCGACGTATCATCTTACATTGTTACTCCCAAAGCAAACATCTTCTCATATTCATCTCTGGTGGAATAGTTGGGAATAACCTAAGAAAACAACCAAAAGAAAACGCAGAAAAGCAAATTAGAGATTTAAGCAGATATTTCCCACAGGCCAAATTCTGTAACTATGGTCACACACATAGAAAACCAGAGAAAAACAGTAGGAGTAAGGCAGGTGTTTTATTCCACTCATTCCAGTATTGTGAAAGAAATGTCTGGTCTTTATGGCAACACGATGGTCATGCAAGTCTTGAGGAAGGCATTTGTCTAGGCCCAAGACTAGCCCACAGAGAGATGGGCATTGAATGGCCCAGATGACTGGCAAGGGACCAGTAGGTCCAATTGCCCAGCTTGCCTTGGGAGCAAAGCAGTCCAGATATCTGAGCATCTGGTCGATAATCATCTGTTTGCCTATTCAGGGCTTTCATAGCCTCCAAAGTGAGCCTGTCTGTACAGTTTTAGTCAAGAACGTATGCAGCTCAGGCTCAGTTGGAACAGAAGTCCTTTGATTAGGACAGGATTGTTCATTCCCTCATCACAGTTCAGCGCACTTGAGATAAGGGAATATAGGGTCCTGGGATAAACGATACAGAATCTGGATCACAGACTCTCCTGTGTGCTACTGTAAGTTCAGATGGTACCAATAACGTCTTAATTCAGCAAACACTTGAAAACCAAACAGAAGAGGAGAAAAAAGGGGAAGCAAGATAACAATACCTACCATGCCGTTAGTAATGATTAATCGAGGAGCATACTGACGGCTGGGAAAGAGTCCCAAAGGATGTCCACTGTACATTACTAATGTTTGCTCTTCGGTCATCTCTGACAAATAGCGCATGACCAACCAGAACTGAAAGGGAAACCAAGGAGAATGAGTGAATCCATTTCCATCTTGCAATGATATTTCTTCACAAATCTCCCAAGCTTTGAGCACAAAGGCAGCGATAGAGATAACAAGGTATATTTGTGTATGGAATAGCAGCCAGAGCTCTC